AGGTGATACTGGTCCCGAGTACGGCGGCGACACGCTTTGGAGCTCCGGGTAAGCAACAGCGTATCCCACTGTACACGAATTAATCTGATGATCACGTACAGTTATGCTCTTTATTCCTCCCTCAGTCCAGGCATGCAGATGTACCTCGAGAGTCTTACAGCTCTGCACGTGCGGTCGCGCAAGCGGAGGGATCTCGTGCGGCTGGCTTCACGTCCGTCGTGAGCCCATCGAAACCGTACATCCTGTCGTTCGTGTCCACCCAGTGACTGGCTGGAAGAGAGTGATGTCAACCCTGGCTTTACTCGCCGCATACTCGGTGTCCCCAAACCTGAATCCGACACCATTCTCAATTTCTTGTTCCACCAGGTTGCCGAGAATGTTGACTTCCAAGTGCGCTTCCACTGGGAGCCGAATTCAATCGCGTTCTGGGATAACAGGGTCAGTACTGTTTCTACTCAACGAAAGGGTGTATTGTTCGACCAAATATTAGATTGTGACTCACACCGCAACTTTCGATTTCTGGCCTCAAACTCGCCACGCACTCAGAGCTACACCTCATGGCGAGAAACCTGAGTCTGTTGAAGACTACGAGAACCGGACAGGCAAAGTGGCGAAAGATCGCCAGATTGAGATCTGGAAGCAGCAGGGAATCGAGGTTCCTCAATCGAAGAAGGGTCTGTCTCGCGCACGCGGATACAATGACTGATATGTTAGTCTGTGCTTTGATTGCAGAGTATGACAGAAGTCTGACCAAGCCATCGCGGGTGTAGATAGAGCTGGTGATCAGTCACGCGAGTATATAGGCTTAGGCATTTTGTACGATATATATGCAATTCCCTCCCAGCCACCTTCCGATTACATCTGCCGATGAATGCCTTGGCAATCGCAAGTTTGCCGCAAGTAGTCTACATTTTAGCATGTAGTTTTCAATCACAGCAGGGGGTCGTACGGACCTCAGGTAGGATTTGCGGCACGAGTGGACGGGGTCGCTGAAGGTACACCCGCTACGGTACGAGACTACGCCGACCCGCAAATTCTACGGGTATGAACGGTATTGTGTATACCGCGGTTTTGCACAGACCGCGGGTTCTCGTGTTGAACGTGATCGGAGTCATCGGACACGTGGACCCATCTCCAAAATATGACGCTGTTTGTTTGGCAAAAGCCTTTAATTCAAACAATCTTGGGAAAATCGCAGAGACGTCCGACTGACGTACTTACCAGTAGCTAGGATCTGCTATCAATATAGCCTTCGCAACCAGTTTTAATTCAAGTTCGAGCATACCATCCACTATGTCTACGGCGTTCCCGCCTAAGCTATCAATAGGCTCGACAACCTGAGCGCATGACAGATGACAGCTCAGCGCCATCGAGTTCAATGCGTACTGGGCCGACCTTAACCTCCAACAGAGGTGACCTACTGGAGGCTATTCGATGCCGTGATTGCTTGGGAGTCCCTCGCGAATCGCGACACCGTGCTTATTCATGCCAAATTATATGACATTGCATGATGTTGAACATGTTGCGAGAAGACTACAAATCACTCAGATGGACTTCCGAAAATGCTCCAGTCAAAAAATCTTCAGGTCGTGTGGATGAATTGGATGGTCCTTCCTCGTTAGTCCTTGGACATTGCGAACGAAAATGATACGCACATGTCACAGACATGGACTCTCCGAGCCCTCACCGTTAAGTGCATCATTGAAACTCAGGCAGCACTTTGCCAGACGTATAGTTGTTTTCCGTCCCGATCGATCGCAAGCGATAGTGGAGTAGAGATCCCATCCCGTGCTTGGCACCCAGAAAATCAGCGAAGCCACGCAGGGCTTTTGTGCGATGACCAATACGTCCTGAAGTCTCCGCGTTCATGTCTGAGTGATTCCCGAACCCTTGCAATGCGCGTTCGTAGTCGAGCGTACACTGGATCAGATGAAAGAATGTTCCTCCGTCTCGCTCAACAGCCTCCAGAATGCGCTTATCCGTCTCACTCTCGCCGAGGCCGCCAAGCCAGTCAGCAAATTTGGAGCAAAGTGACGCGATTTCTGCCTCTTGGCTTGAGTTTGAGAATACGATGATCCTTCGGAAGATCCATGTTCGTCGCTCTTAAAGCCTTCCCCGTACTGGATGATTTCTCAGCGTAACACTTGTGTGGACTTAAAAAACCTACCTGTTTTCTTGGAGGCTGGCGTCCAGTGGATTTGCGAGCGATATTCTTCCGATGGCGTTTTACTCCGCCAGGGATGGAAGTCGGAGTTGGATGAGAGCCTAAAACAGAGATGTTAGACGACATGTGAATGAATGACGGCCGCCAGTTACTGTTTATCATGGAGGCTGCTCGCCGTCGCCAGTACGAAGTACTAAGCAAGTACTCGTGTTTAAAGCGCACGTCTGAGTCTGTGCACGTGGGGCTTCGGAAGAGAATTGCCGTTATGTAACAATTGTAGGCGTGCATTGCCTCAGGTATGGCGGCGACACTTAAACGTTGTCATGTACCTCGCACTCCATAATTATGCTATGAGAGGTTGAGTACACCATGAACGGCACTCGTGTCTCCCCGTGTCTCTTTGGAATCAGGTGCAAGACCTCCGATATTAATTATCAAGACTCGGCTCGGTTTCGAGGTTGGAGATCTCCAGAGGGAACGTTCGACCAGTACCAGGCTTTCACACCGCAAGCACACTTTTAGCACTGTTTGTGCAGTATTTCGTCCTTGCCAACCATGATCGGGTTCCAAGAACATCATTGACAGGTCGGACGAAGTTTTCGGAGACTTGCCAACGAATCACCGAGAGGATATGTGACAACCGCAGGGTATTGTTCACCTCACTTCTAAAGTTCTAATCTCCATACCTAAAAGGCGTATGACAGGCCTAAAGGAATTTTTAGACTTTTCTCACACCAGCGGACACGACCACTCACTGGGCATACGGTGTAGCTGGTTATCACATCCGCTTAGCATGTTGCTTGGGTTGCGGGGGGTCTCCGGTTCGAGTCCGGATTTGTCCACTGTTTTGCTCGAGAATCAGAGGCTCCACTCATGCGCTACGCGAATTGTGCGACATTGCATAACGCGTTTTGTCGAATTTTCTCAAATCTAAGGAATAACCTATCTTTCCTTTCTTGTGATCAACCAAATACTCGTAAACAGGTGTCTTGCATTCAATTAAGGAACTCAACGCCTTTCCGAGTTTGCATTCTCGAATGTTACAGGATGTGGTTCGCACCTTATTCAATAAAACTTCTAGAAAACGCCTGTACATGTCATCGTTGCTCATTCATGACGTGTACATTGCCATGAACACATCTATAATTGCTGGTCAGAGACTTCAGTAACCACATCCGATGACTATCAAAGTGCCTTCTCTCATCATCTGGTACTTCTTCGCTTAATCGTGTCTCTTGTGCGCACATTCTACAACACACCTGCCGACTTCTACAAGTTATTTGACGATGCTTTCAATACTCGTTTGCGCCCCTCCTCCGTGATACTGCCTTGACTCATCGCCGAGATTGGGCGTTTCCCGGGTAAGTAAAATGGTTTTCATTTCATGACTTTAACTTTCGATGACGCTGACTCACACGAACACAGGATGAACCTACGCGAGAACGCCGAGAGCGCGACATTCGAGCTTCCCGGTTTCACTCGACAAGATGTCAACATCGAGGTCCACGGAAAACGCCTGACCATATTTGGGGAGTCGAAGCGCTCGGAGAGGTATGACAAGGGCAGCTATGCGGTGCAGGAGCGCTCGTATGGAAATTTCTCTCAGATTCCTCAAGGAATCAAGGTGAGTGCGTTGATTACCTAAATTGCGTTGGTGATTCAGTGCTTACGATGATTGCACCATCAGACTGAAGCTGTCCACGCGATGAAGGAGAACGGAGTGCTTATTGCTAGCTTCACGAAGGCTGGACTGGACCAACAACCTCAGCATGTTACGATCACATCGACTAGCAAAACTTGAAGATTTTCCAGGATGAATCATTGTAACCCTGGACACTGCACCGTACATGACTATGAAGTATAGTTATGGACCAACTCAGCGCCACAAAACAAAACACAGAAATTAGGATAACGATATCGTCTTATGATTGATTGGTCGAGATCGTACGCCCAGATCGATCGAGGTTTCTGTTTCGGTTGACTCCACAGATCCAACTTTGCCTCCGCCCCGATCAATCGAAATTTACTTGGCATGCTGTGGAGAAATCTCTACCGACGTCGAAACACCGACTAAGATGTGGGAGATGGATTACAAGAGCGCACTTAGGGCGAAGTCTCGAAAGAAATCCAAGTACCGAACAGACCAAGGAACTATGTGACCAGGGCCGCGACAGGAAGTTGCCCAGTTTCCAAGCCTCGACGCATCCAACACCTCAGCCTTGACTGCGACCGAGGTAGCAGGTGCCATGGCGTAGGTAAGGACCGAGTCGAGACGAAGGGTGGTGCATAACGGGTGGTGGTATCTTTGTGCTGTCGTTGAGTGATGATGTACTGAGGCGGGTTAATGGTGCGCCTGAGCCTGTTGTCATCGGTGGGTGATGCGCTTGGATTGGTTGACCCTGATGCTGAAGTGTCTGGTGAGTCACAGGAGGGGTTTTGGCTTCCACGAAGTGTGGTGCGTAGCAACGAGTATATACGACGCAGATGTGGAGACGGAGAAGTGAGGTGAAGATGGGCGTATCAGTTCTGAGTGCCTCGAGCAGACTTCTCTTGCGCAGGATATCGTCTCCGTGAGGTCTTCTTCAACGGGAGGCTGCAGGCACGACTGCCAAGGAGCTTGGAGGTTGGCTGTAAAGAACGAGGTTAGAGGTGGATCAGAGAAAGTGGTGTGTTTGAGTAGGGAGAATTATTCGTTGATTGAATATTAGAGTATGGTCCATCGCGAAGGAACAAAAATCAAGCTCAAGGCAGACGGAGGAGCACGAATGTAAGTTAACAAAGTACTACTCGAAGAGAACGATGTGTGGTATTGAAGAGAGAACGAGACGGAAACACACCATACTACAATAATGATACTAAACCACATTAATCAAAAGTCAGGTGCCAGGTTACTAGTAGTTGATTCGGCCCTTCGCACAGCCTGAGTTTGATGAAGACAGAATGAACTGACAGTGGACGCTAGATCTCAGAGTCCTGGACCGCTACAATTTGAACTGGGACGCATTTTGATATAGCCAGAGAGAAAAGCGGTAGAAAACTCGTGTGCATTAGTGGGACTCAGAATTGGAAACCCGCTAAAGCAACCAAATACTATTGAAGGACCTTCAATTCGCTGATCATGAGATTAGACGAACACCGATGTTGGACAACGACGCGGCTAGAACTAGGGCAGGAACCAACGATTGTGGGACTCGCGGTGAACTATGTCGGGTGGCGCGACGCGACACTCTTATCTTCAGAGGTGTAAATTGGAAGGTGCTGTTTGCCCTATTGCAATGGGAGACGTGACTATGACATACGAGGTCGTACCAATCGTGGTGCGCCTCGGAGATCGCGGGAGTAAGGAAGGCCTTAGACGACAAGGAAGCAGCCATCTCTTATTTTTAGCAGCTCGATGGAGATAATCGATGATGGATGGCCAGGGATGCCTGGAGGGAGCTGGGGGACTGTAATCTATATTACACATTAAGTAAGCTTGAACGGAAGATGAACGGAAGGTTGAAAATTTGAGTTTGACCGGAAATTACCGGTCCCATAATATTGCCTCCTTCAATTGTCGAGTTGAAGACACTGCACCGTTTTGGTTGCCCACACAAGTGAAGTTTCCCTCGCAACTCCATACTAGACGGTGCTCATCTTGAAATGCCTCGCAAGGCTGCTGTGAGGTTGAGAGGATCTAGTAATGCCTTGCGAGGAACAAATGGTTTCACGCCTCGGAAGATGCTCCGGACCTTGCCGACCCTTGGGCACTTTTGCTGATAATTCGTGTACCGTCCGATCCCAGCACTTGTACCACATTACTTGCTTCAATCAATCAAGGGTCTTGATGCAGGAACAAATACTCCTAGTACTCATCTCCATTATGCTGAGTTTGGAACGGTAGTATATCTAGCATGAACACTCACTACACATCCCCAACATCCCCCCCTCGCTCACACACATCCCTCTGAATATGGCCCTAGTCTCAAATGATCCCGGTTTGTCGCCAATTATCAATTTCTATCTTTTTTCCAGCTATTGGATGGGTTTGTCGTATCAGTCGGTATGTCTCAATCTAATATTGACTTGCGGCTTCACAGTTGCCGCTGGCGCCGTGGTGGTATACGATTGGGGTGAGTAGGATAGTGCTCGAAAGCCGCTGATATTCTTATGGTATTTTCAGTACTAACACTCGGACAAGAGGTAGGTTGATGCTATTGTCGGAGCAGCCGACTCGCTAAGAATTGTGCTATAGATTGAACTGATCTGGGTGAGTGACAGAGTCCCATGTCAGAAGAAAAACTGAAGAATACAATAAATTCGTGGCAGAGGCAACGCTGGTCCCTCCCGACTGTGCTCTATCTTGCTGTTCGTACTTCGTGTTATACTATAGCGCAGTTGGCAAGTTGTGCTGACTCCGAAATGTTCTAGATACGCTATATTGGAATACCATATTCTGTGTATGTTTTTAAAGCTAACAAATCGGTGGTGTGCTAATAGCCATCTCTCACAATCAGTATCAGTGTTCTGGGTATGTGCCATATGCACTGCTGTGGTCGATTCTTCTGACTGGCGGCACACAGAAAGTATGTCATTCATCTCGATGGCAGATGCAGTGAGTATTCTGCACCCATGCCTCCCATGCCTATCCAATTAACTGCACATGTGTGTAGGGGTGAGTGAGATTCTGAACATTGAGCTTGGCTCAGCATAATGACTACAACAGGTGTGAGTCGGAGTGTTTGAACCTACGAGGGTGATCACTAATTGGATGTTTTAGGTAATATTATCATCTACGCACTGAATGGGACAAATGTGGTCATAGCTGCTATGCTAGGCGGTGAGCTACCCAGCTGTGATATCGACCCAACTGAAACATCGTACAAGTCATTATGATTGCTCGGTTACATGCGATGTATCAGGGATCTAGGAAGATGCTTATCTTCCTTATTATTATCTTCCTGATTGTTAACATCGCATGTGGAGTAATCACGGCAATAGGATTCAAGTATCTTGTGGGGGGTAAGCTTCACTTATTGGCTTGAAGAACATAACTCATTGGACGAACACCAGAGGGCCTGATACTCTCTGGCGTGCATATATGCAATCGCGCACTTGAGGCGGATGTCCAGTTTCTGTTCACAATGGGTTGGACGTTCACCACTGTTTGGGAGGTCCTTGCACTGTGTCTTTCAATCTGGATTGCTGTGAAATACTTCCGTGACCTGCAACGACTCAGACCATCGACAGGATTGACTATCGGGGCCTGTTTCAGAGTGTTGATAAAATCACATGTGCTTTATTTTGCAAGGTGAGCTTGTAACGTGAATGTAGTTGTTTTTTTCTGCTGAAGTTCCGCACGTGCTAGCTTTGTTGGTGTTTCTTGCCTGGGCCTGCTTGGTGGTTTCTCTTCAGGGATATTTGTGCGCCGATCTGTCACTGACAGCTGCATGCAACTACTGCTCATCATTCCTGTAGGAATCAAATTCTACAAGATCCTATGCATATAGTGGTGGTGTTCTTCAAATTTTCACAGTCATGCAGTTGTTCGTACTGGGACCACGCCTTATCCTTAGCGTTCGCGAATATCACGCTAAGCTCGTGGCCGACACCGACACAGAAACTAGCATGGCTTCGATTGTTTTCCAGGAGCGTGTACATGTACCCACTAGCAGTACTGTGTAGCACAGGAAATGCTTGTCGGGTGTTCTGCAGGGAGGAGAAATTTGTTGCAGGATTCGTCGTAGTACTTATTTGAGTTATGGTGTTTAAACGTTTCGAAATTTATGTCTAGGCAAACCATTTCTTGTTGTATCACCACTGAAATCCCCACCTACAGTTGCAGGAAGAGGCAAGTTGGAAT